AAGAGTGGGGGGAAGCGTTCGAGGGTGAAGAAGAGACAGGCGTGAGCACTGGGCCAAGCACAGGGGAGCGTCCAGAGCCAGGCGAGCAGGCAGCAGAGGACGACAGAAGCACACACTGGGGGAGTGAAAGTGGAGTGCTCTGAGGAGTTAAGATAAATGATAAGGATGATGCTGAGTACACAAGGAACGGGGGTCACAGAAGGAAGTGCTGGAGTCTTTAAGCGGTAAGCACTGGGGGAATTTATTGACAGAAGTTGTAAACGTAGCTAAAAAATTAAATGAATTCATTGCTGCAGTGCTCACAAAGGAAGATGAGAGACAGATGCCAGTAGCAGACGTGCACTTCCCAGAGGAGAGGGACGGAATGCCACAGAAAATCAGAAGCGTGCCAGAGCAGGTGATCAAGAAATCTAAACTCACAGACTACCGAGGCCACCGTCGCCTGAGAGCTGGACGGATCGGAGGGAAGCAGGGAAAATTAGCATGCAGCAGACGGAGGCTGAGCGTTTGGATGCAGGAAGGCCTGGCCGAGTGGAGCAAGACAGATACACACCTACAGCGGGCAAGAAATCCCAGTCCGCCTTAGCTCAGACAGGCCAGCCCGGGGGGCCTGCTTCCACGCACTGCCTGCTGTCTGCCTTCTCCTATTCCAGCAGCCGTCCGGGCGTTTGGAGTTTGGGGCAGTTTCCATGGTCACTGTGCAGAGCTATCAACTCACTGGGCTTCTGCCCCCAAGAACGACTTCAGGTCTCTCTAAACAGCAGGCCGCTCTGCTAGCTGCTACTTACACACTGTCCAGGCCACTTCCCGCCTTCTGCTGAACTGCCCAGCCACCGTCTTCTCTTGAATGCTCTTCACAGGAGCCTCCATGCTGCGCTTCCCTACCAGTCCCTGCCCTGCCTGCCCCTCTCTCGATGGGGAAGCACCTGCAGAAGACAGGCCTACCTGCGCCATTCGGCAGTGTCTGTTCACCCAGATTTCCCTGTATCGTACGTACACAGACAGACCTTTCCACGCCATAGACCAACTCCATCGACAGTTTTTGAAGCTAGCACAAAGTCTCTGGGTTCACAAACACGGAGTAGCTAAAGGGACACAGTGTTTCTCTGGCTCTGAACAAAACGAAGGCCACTGTTATGGACTGATGCTTGCGTCCCTCCCAAATTCCTCTATGGAAGTCCTAACCCCTAATGGAATGGGATAGAAGTGGGGCCTTTGGGAAGTGATCAGGTTCAGCAGAGGTCATGAGGGTGGAGCCCCCATGATGGGATTGGTGTCCTCATAGGAAAAGAGACTGAGCGCTTGTGCCTGCGCCCTCTCTCCCTCCCTCGTGGAAGTGCACACACCAAAGAAGGCCGTGTGAGGACAGAACCCAGAAGACGGCCCTCACCAAGAACCAGAGTCTGGTGGCACCCTCACCTCAGACTCCCAGCCTCCGGGACTGTGAGAAATCAATGTGCTACTTTAGCCAGTGGAATAGCCAGCCGAGACAGCTGCTGATGTTACTTAGCAAATAAGTAGGGACAGACGGAGGAAACCCTGCATCCTCTGCCCTCCAGGCCACGCTCCGTAGTGAGGGAGGTGCCCTGACCCCTGTTTCTGATGGCACAGTTCTGGCTCCCATGGGACTGTGAATCAGGGTGGTGCCGCACACTCATCTCCAGCCTCCTGTCCTAGGCTGCCGCCTTCCCCAGCTCCATGAAGTGCTCGCGTCCATGCGGTCATGTCCTCTAGAGCCGTCTCTCCCAGGAATCCTGCCTGACCAGCCCAAGTCACCCTCCTTCCCTGATGTGACCCCAGTCCCTCACGCCTCTGAACTTTGCCATACTGGCTTACACACATTTCCACTGTTCTCTGTTAAGACTTTTTTCAAATAATGTCCCAGAACCCAGGATGCTGCAGTAAAGAGCATTCTCTGAGGTTTGCTATATTCTTGATGCCCAGTCAAGTTCAGCTTTATTGTACATTTTTTGTTTTTTGAGTCAGGGTCTCACTCTGTTGCCCAGGGCTGGAATGCAGTGGTATAATCATAGCTCACTGCAGCCTTGAACTCCTGGGCTCAAGCCATCCTCCAGCCTCAGCTTCCTGGGTAACTGGGACTACATGTAGGTGCATACCACTGTGCCTGCTAATTGGTTTTCTGTTTTTCTGGCTTTTTTTTTTTTTTTTTTGAGATGGAGCCTCGTTCTGTTGCCGAGTCTGGAGTACAGTGGCACGATCTTGGCTCACTGCAACCTCGGCCTCCTGGGTTCAAGCAATCCTCTTGCCTCAGCCTTCCATGTAGCTGGGATTACAGGCATGTCCCACCATGTCCGGCTAATTTTTGTATTTTAAGCAGAGATGGGGTTTACCATGTTAGCTGGGCTGGTCTCGAACTTCTGGCCTCAAGTGATCCACCTGCCTTGGCCTTCAAAAGTGCTGGGATTACAGGTGTGAGCCACCACGCCTGGCCTTTTTTTTTTTTTTTTAAAGTAGAGACAAAGTCTCACTATGTTACCCAAGTTGGTCTTGAACTCCTGGGCTCAAGCAAACCTGTGGCCTCAGCCTCCCAAAGTGCTGGGATTACAGGTGTGAGCCAACGCACCTGGTTTATTGTGCCTTTTTGTGTGCTCTGAGAATGAGATCCTATTCATTATGTATTTTATGACTTAAGATGTTTCCTGGCCCAGCATGGTGGCTGGCTCATGCCTATAATCCTAACACTTTGGGAGGCTAAGGCGGGTGGATCACCTGAGGTCAGGAGTTCGAGACCAGCCTGGCCAACATGGTAAAACCTGTCTCTACCAAAAAAAAAATATACAAAAATTGGATGGGTGTGGTGGCAGGCACCTGTAATCCCAGCTACTTGGGAGGCTGAGGCAAGGGAATCACTTGAATGCAGGGGCAGAGGTTGCAGTGAGCTGAGATTGCACCACTGTACTCCAGCCTGGGTGACAGAGTGAGATTCTGTCTTTAAAAAAAAAAAGTTTCCCAGTTGGCAACACTACTTTGAGGCTTTTTTCCCCCTGATCAATAACTGATTCAAAAAGACAACTGAGCAAGTTATTCACTAGCCAAATGGGATGGATTACAAGTTAACTAGTGACCTACTATCCAACCCATTTAAAATGGCTGGTCCAATCTCCACCAAAGTGGTCGGGGCCCCTTGCACAGACATTTTTGGGAAACTCATCATGAAAGAGAGGTCTTACACTCCAACTTCAGAGCTCTGTAATGGGAAATCATTCGTCATCTAGAATAGCTTTGAAAAAAAATGTCCAAGATGCTTTTCTTCTTCCTTGGTCACTGAGGAAACAGGTTTGGGACTGAGGGCAGCCCTAGAAGAGGGCTCTGAGCAGACTCCTGCCTTGCTGCTTCTTAGCCTTTTCTGACTTGAGAATTCCTTCTGTTGTAATACAAAATTTCAGAGTTCCATTTAGGAATTAAAGAAAAAAACCAGTCTAAAATTTTGGGGGGGATGCACTGTATAAAAAGCAAGAACTGCAAATGAAACATAGTTCATTCGATTTCAATATGTTACTATGTAAAAATTTCAATTGTTTATGACCTGGTGCTTATAATTCTCGAATTTTTCTTTAGAAAACATCAGTTGGTTTACTTTTATAGTTTTCAGGTTTGTTTTGAAATAAAGAGGCAAGAGGAAAAGTTCCAGGTTTCTGTTTACAAGCTCCTCTCTGCAAGAAACACATTGTAGATGTGGACCATTTTTATTCTAAATAAATACAAAGCCAAAATGAATTTAAATTATCACAATATTTTCACATTTATAAATGCTTTTTGAAGTACCAGAAACACCTTGATGTGTTCTGGGGAAATTTTAATTCCATAAAGACAATGCATGAATCCTGAGCACAGGGCCCATTTGCTGGACGGAAACGAGGAGCCCTGTGTTCAAAAAGCACAAAGAAACCTTTCTGCTTTCATCTAGGGTCTCTCTCTCTCTCAAGCTGTCACGCTAGTTATCATTTGCTACTTAATGATGTGCTACCTCGGGCACAGGGACTGCCCCCCACCACCACCCCCAGCCAGTGTAGCCCCTCACGGGCACCCAGGACCCTATTCTGTGACTTGAGCTCAGGACTCACACCAGACTCTGGCCCCGTCCATCTCTGTGCCAGGGCCCCTGCTGGGGGTGGAGAGGGCAGTGATCATGCGTGAGATGAGGAGGGGCAGGCCAAGCAGAACCCAGGCATCCTGGCTCAGGGAGTGGGTGGCTGAGAGCTCACGGCAGGAAGGTGGGAAGGGGCAGGAGGCGGGATTGCGTGTGGGCTGAGGCTCCAAGGTCCTGGTGTGTGTTCCACTGTGCTGTGGAGCTTCATTTATAAAACACAGTTCAAAGGTAAAAAGACCCTAAGCATTTCAAGATGGTGCCACAGAGCATTAAACCTCATGTACTGGGTCCCATGCGACTGTCGTGGTGGCACACCATAGAGCCAATCCTGCATAAATCTGAGAAAGATCATGGAAAGGTAGAATTGCAGAAATGTTACTACTTTTATGTTTCTCATGTACCTCTTGCATTTCGACCCATCATTCCCTCTGCTGCCTCTCTTAAACCAGGAGTTCTTTGGAGGTACACGCTTGACACAGTGTGGCGATGAAACAGCAAGGGAGTGACAGGTCAGCAGCACGGCCACCTGCTAGACACCATGCTCAGAGGGGCAAGGAACCTCACACAATTGCTGTCATTTGGGAGGGCTGAGGACTCGGAGACAAGGGATGAGGTGTTTGACCTCTCAAGGCGTCTGTGGTTGGCCGATTCCACAGAGAGCTGTAGGAATTAGCAAAGCAATAGGAGCTGGCTTTCATCTGCCAGTGAAGAGATATCAAAAAATGATAATGATATCCCCACTGTGCAATTGCAGGACTTTCTCCTTACCAAGCTGTCTGAACAACAGGCCATTAGCAGGCAGAACAAACAATTCCACTTAACTCAGGAGGTAGCATTTACCTGTATATCAGGAAATCTCATGGCACCTCTCATGAAAAGAGACCCTTACCTCATTTGCTGTGTTGTGTGTCCCAACGATACGGATGAAGGAGGCAGGCTGCCTTTCAAAACTCACTGACTGCCAGGACCTGGGAGAGGAAACAACCATTTGCCTGGTTAGACGGTGCAGTTAACTGACAGTGTGGCTGATGAAGTCATGTCCACTGAGGGAGGGCTTCCTGTCCTCGGAGACTTGCACTGTAGGAGGGGCTGGGGGCAGGGCTGCACCTAATGTATGGCTGAGAGAGGCGGGACATACACAGTGTCCCTATTCAGCAGCTTACAACCCCATCACAGAAGGCACTCCTCCCCATCTGTGAAGGTCACTTAGGGTTCTTACAAAGCCCTCCATAAACAAGCACAAAGTGCAGACCAGGCTCATTAGGACAAGAGTGTGGACAAAGAGATGTAATCACGGTGGCAGGAGTTCATAAATACATTTCCCCATCTATAAAATGGGGCCATGATGGGGCCCACCTCAGGGCTGTTGGCAGGATGACCTCAGTCATTCGTCAGACACGCATCTGAGGGGGAGCAGTTACTGAGCACGGGAGGCTTCTGGGAGGAGGAGAGTTTTGAAGAGGGCAGGGATGTGGGAGGGCTGTGGAGTTCCAGCACTTGGGTTGGGGCAGCCTCTGACCCCACCATGTGAGTGATGGCACATGGGGGTTTTGGCAAGTTCTCCACAGGCCTCTACCCCCGCCTTTCCCTGCTTCCAAAATGCCACCCCCACACCATCTATTCTCAAGACTGGCCTGGCTCCGTCTGGGTGGTTTCCAAAGCATCCCCGATATTTTAAAGGCAGTTCCTCATTGATCGGCACGGGCCAGGCCAGCTCATTGAAGACTCGGCAGAGCAGGCCTGAGCGGACCCTGAGAGGAGGAGTTCTGCTCTTGGCTGAATGCTCAGCAGCTCATCAGAATGTACTGGAGGAGTGCACGGCACCCACGACTGTAAACTCCAATCATATTTTCTGTAATAAATGTGAGGAGTTCACAGTTGTTGCCATCCCTCCTCCGCTCTCACAGTGGAAATGCCAGCTGCTGAGAAGCTGTTTCCTGTAATTGTCTAATTACCAAGTAATGTTAGCAAAGAAAGTATCTATGTATTTGCAGTTTGCTTTCCCCCTTTGGTTTCAGGTGTTCCATCTTCCCTCTCACTATGAACCTCCCACTGAGATTGATTCACTGCTGCCTGGACACCTGTCCCCTTAAGGTCATTAAAAAGTCATTACCATCTTGTGTGCAAAGTCTGTGCCCCTGAAACCAGTGTTCTAGAAACAGAGTTAGAAAAATCACTCTCTCCATAAAAATGCTATTATTCATACATGAAAGTGACGCCATCTGACCATGCCCAGGGCTTGTGCTGGTGCCCTATTTTCTTGGTGAGCGACTGCTGTCCTCCCAGACCCCCAGCTCTCTTGGAGGGTCTGCTAGATGGGATGCAGCCTGTGGGCCGGCAGGGGTCCTGCAAGACCCTGTGTGGTTTCCACAGGCCTAGCTCTCTCTTGCCAGCCAAGCAGTGGAACTGACCACACACTCATGTCCTTCCTCCAGCAGGTGGGGGGAAGTGAAGGGAGCGGCCCCTGGCCAAGGTTCACACTGGGACATCAGAGTCCCATCCCTGTCCCTAAAGGAAGCTAAAGAGTACACTAAAGCTGGCCCACTGGCTGCTTCTCAGGCCACGCCTCCAGGAAAGAGAAACAGAAATAGGATGAGTGACAGTAGCTGGTGACAGTTATTAGGTTCCAGTCACAGTTTCACAAAAAGGACTGGCATAGGGAGGGGGCAGGAGTGGAAGAAACTGAGCAAAGATTTTGTTCTTCTCAGCCTTCTATCTCGATGCCTGTCAAATATCCAAGTGATTCTGGACAGTTGGAAGCTCTTGGTCCTCAACAACATGTGTGTAGCTCTGAGAGTGAAGGCAGGCCCAGAATCATGGCCCTGTGGTCCCACGTACTCCTCCCTCCATGATGCAGAGGAGGTTCAAGGAACCCAGGCAGTGAGGTCTTGCTGGCAGCCATCCTGGGCAGAGCCGGCCTGAACCTGGGTCTCCCTCCCCTCTCCCTTGCTGCTCCTCTTGCCTCCACTCCCCTCTCCCTATGCCAGGCTTCTGCAGCGGGTTTAGGGCTCTGGGCTCTGGCCCCACTGCCCTTGCTTCTGCCTGGGGAGGCAGGGGAGGCAGGGCTGGCAGGGCAGCAGCCTGAGCGGGAGGGAACATTTGAGGAGATCAGAAGGTCTCAATTTAATACCAATCCTCCATTACACTGCATTAATATCTAATCACACTGGACTTCAGCCTGAGAGTTGAATATATGATTTCATTTTCAGCAGAGCTGGATACCAATTCCAAGACCAAAGTATCAGTAGTAAGGGAAGCTGGTTAGGACAAGGAAATGAGCATCTCTCTCTCCCCATCAGATTCCATTTCCCCGGAACTTCTTCAGAATAACTTGCCACGGCTGCTTGAAGGGGAAATGACAAGGTGGCACTGGAGTGGTCACCACCACAACTGTGCCACATTTGCAATCACTGTGAAACCTCAAAGGAGCTGCCTCGGCTGAGATTTCACAGGGCCAAAAAACGCCAGCATTGTTTAGTCAATGCAAAAGCTTGGCTGCCATGTTTATTGGGCTTTATTGATAGCTGCATAAATATTCCAGCTCACCAGGCACTCAGAATCTCTTCTCCAGGAGGCAAAACGTGCAGGAAAGACAACAGACCACTAGAGGCATGGCAGCCTGCCCAGTTCAGAGCCAGGGCTGGGCGCTTAGAGGAAGGTGTTTGAACAGGAACAATGAATGTCAAAAAATAACTGTGGTCTTAATAAAAACAAAACAGCTTAATAAAAACAAAAAACCCACACAGGATTGAAGTCCCAACCCCATACTGGCTCTGACTGGATGGACTGTTACCCTCCCCTGAGTCTACTTTCCTCATTTAAGCAATGCTAACAGAAATAACACCGGTCACCTGCTCGCAGAAACACATGTAGAATGAGATCCCAATTATGTCCAATTGTAAATATGTCTCTATACACATAGGTATTATTTTTAAATTTTAATTATTTTTTATTTAATAAAAATTTTAAACTTATTTACTTTTTAAATTTTTTATCTTTTGTTTATTCTTCACCATGCACACAAGTGCAGAACTGTACACACATGTATTAAAACGTAGGTGTCTGTAAGAATGCTTGCTAAAATGTTGGTCCGGATTTTAGCTTTGGATGGAAGAATTTCAAGAGCCATTTAGTTTACTTTGGTGCTGTTCTGTACTGTTTGAACTTGGTAGAATGTATAATCCATTTAAGCAGTAGACAATGTACCTATCTTGCCTATTGTCCGAGGACTTAATAATACAGATCACATGGCATGGAGCCAGTGAGAATGCCAGTGCTGCATTATTATGCCAAGTACTCCAGTGGAGAGGACCACGGACGACAGTCAAGACGGCAGGCTTTCCTCCTGGTCTCTCAGGACTCGGGGCAATGTGGCACAGGGGTGGAGAGCATGGGCCCTGGACCCTGGCTGCCAGTGTTTGAATCTTTATTTTGTGCTTTTAACAGCTCTAGGACCTTAAGCAAGTTGCTTAACCTCTCCAGGCTGCAGTCTTTTCATCTGTAACATGGGAATAATAGGAATAACTACCTACATTTTTTGGGTAAAGACGAAGTACATTAACAAATGTAAAACATCTAGAAAAGTATTGGCATACATTAAACACTAAAAAAAAAAAATAGTTGATAGTGTTACTACTACTATAATCACATTCAGCCAATGAGTCTGGACAAGACACACTGTGTTTCTGGCCTCATCTGTGAGTTGTCAGGTTTGACAGTATATGATTCAATGATTACCACAGAGGTTCTTGGAGCACCCAAGGCGACTCCCATCAGCACCCATGTCTTGGAGGCAGACAAGAAGCTGGGCTTTGGAAGAATTAAACAAGTATGTTTTGAATACATCCTTGCAGTTGGCACCTGCTGGGTGTTATGGAGGACGTGCAAGATGTAGTGCCCCTTCCTTAAGAAGTGTGTAATCTCACCAGGGAGATTAGCTCTCCTTCCACAAACTCATTAGAGAACAATGCAAACAGTACAGTGGTCCCAACTTATAAACCGGTGGTGTTCCAAAACTTGCCTTGTAGTTGGTTGTTTGATGCTTGGGAACAATTTTTCCATAGAAATAAGGCTATAAATTTTGAGAGGGTGCCCAGGCCCACCCACAAAACTCAATTTAACCCATAATGAAGCTAAAATACTATGTATATGAAGTTTAAAAAAGGAAAAAAAGAGATATTGTTGCCAGAGTAGTAATTAAGCAAGCCAGATAAACAAGGGATTTAAAACAATCTTTCCAAAGCTGCTGCTTGAGGAACGAGGATTAAATTCTGTAATGCAAATGAAATCATGGGGATGTAGCTGGAACATGGTAGGCGGTCTGTTAATAGGGAAAGTTAAAAAAACGGGCCAAGTTTGTCATCCTAAAAGCCTTTCCCATCCACACACCACTGAGTGGTTTACAAAGTGTCTTAGAGTCGTGATCTATCTCATTTGGTTCCCAACACCATCTTTTAGGTAGGCAGTCAGGCAATCTGAATCCCATCAGAGGCGAGGAAACTGAGGCAAAAAGAAGTAATCTGTGTGACATCCTAGAGCTGTCAGGATACAGTCAGCAACAGAAGCCAGATTTAACGACTGTGAGCTGAGGTTCTTTCCACCAAAGGGCAAGATGAAGACACCAATCCAGAGGCCAAGGCACTGACTAGTCACTGTCCCCTGGGTTTTATTTTGCTGGCTCCCAGAACATTACTGACACCTCATTTATGTGTTTGTGTCATGACTCCGGGGCCAGAAATCCCAGTGGCCAGAACCATACGGATCATACACACGAGCGGATCATAAGGTGGTCTCAGGTAAGTGATCATCCGCTAAAGTCTCCGTTTCCCAAGTGAAGTAGGGGTGGTAACAGTACTTACCATCTGGGGTTGTGAGGACTCAAGGAGAAAACACAAAGAGCATGGCACGTGGTGAAAGCAAATTAACTGTTGGCTATTACTCTCACATCTTTACATTCACACATATGGCA